AGGTTGTGGCCTCGCCCCCTGTCACACACAGAGCTGCAGGGCGATCAGGGGGTTTGGGCGCTGCCCCCTGTCACTCTGATCCCGGTGCTGGGAGGCCTCGCGGCTCCACTGATCTCAGGCCGGGAGGCCTCGCTGCTCTGCTGATCCCAGTGCTGGGAGGCCTCATGGCTCCGCTGATCCCGGTGCTGGGAGGCATATTACCCTTTTACTATATAGGATAGAGGCCTGGTGCATGGCTGGGGGCCGGCTGGTTTGCCCTGAAGGGTGTCCTGGATCAGGGTGGGGGTCCCCACTGGGGTGCCTGGCCAGCCTGGATGAGGGGATGATGGCTGTTTGCAGCTGGTCACACAACCTTCAGGGTGGGGGTCCCCACTGGGGTGCCTGGCCAGTCTGGGTGAGGGGCTGAGGGCTGTTTTCAGGCTGGCGGGTGACTGAAGCTCCCAACCGCTCCTTTTTTTCTTTTTTTGTTTTATTCTGGGCCCGCTTTAGCTCTGGCTCTAGCTCTGAGGCATCTGCTGCTGAAAGCAGGTTTCTGGCCTTTGTTTACCTTCTGTATTTGAAACAATGTTGCGATCCTGCTGGCTGAAGCCCAGCGACTAAAGCAGGTTTCTGGGGTTTTGTTTAGCTTCTATATTTGTAACATAGTTGCTTAGAGTTGTAGCTCAGAGGCCAGCAGCGGCAGGTGGGGAATGTTGGTTTCCTTCGTCACTGAAGTAAGCAAGCCTCATGTTCGCTTCCAGCTGACTGTCTGCCAGCCACCATCTTGGCTGGCAGTTAATTTGCATATCGCCCTGATTAGCCAATGGGAAGGGTAGCGGTCGTACCCCAATTACCATGTTTCTCTTTTATTAGATAGGATAGGATTTATTTACATCAGTATGGACTCATAGTTTTATAGAGAGGGTTACTTTTTAAATCAAATTACACTTGATGTCGCCAGTGGTGGTTCCTTCAAAATTATTTGTGCCTTTTTTTATGTGTTTTATTTTATATATATTTATATATATTGATTTCAGAGTGAGGAAGGGAGAGGAGAGACAGAAACATCAATGATGAGAGAGATTCATTGCTCAGCTGCCTCCTGCTCACCTCCCACTGGGGATCAAGTCCATAATCTGGATATGTGCCCTGACCTGGAGTTGAACCGTGACCTTCTGGTTCATGGGTGGACTTGACTCTCAACCACTGAGCACACTGGCCTGATTCTTTGTCTGTTTTGACATGTCCCTATCATTTATTAATTTCTTTGTTGCACAGCAAGATGTTCCAGGTTCATCTCATGTTTTTCCTATTCCAGCCTTGCACGTAGTTATTTTTCCAAGGAACCCTGGTTTGTTTTGCTTTTGTTCATTGGTTTTTTTAAGTGGAAAATGGTCTTTAGAAAACAAGATCTGGACACAGAGTGTGCTCATTACTATTGGGTGTCACTTCTCTGAAAACCACTAGTGAACAGAATTGAGAGTGTGTGTGTGTGCGCGCACACGACATACTAGTATATGTGATGTTTGTGTATGTGTGTATGTATGTGTATCTATATCATACATGCACATACATACATGGACATCTACATATATTACTGTATCTGTTTATATACATTGAACACCATGACTTTACACTGATATTTCCAATTCTAGTCTACCACCATAGGATCCATTCTGGTTTTCTCCCTTTCCTCTTTGTAACTCTGCCCTCCCATAGTGACAATCCTGGCTTTCATTTTCCTCATGATATACCTGTATATTGAAAAAAAAATAAAATATATATATTTATTTATTTATTTTAGAGAGAGGAAGAGAGAGGGATAGAGAGTTAGAAACATCGATGAGAGAGAAACATCAATCAGCTGCTTCCTGCACACCCCCTACCAGGGATGTGCCCGCAACCAAGGTACATGCCCTTGACCGGAATCGAACCTGGGACCCCGCAGTTATATATATATAAATAATATTTTGCTGTCACCCTTTGCTGCTCCCCCCCCCCCCCCCCCCCCCCCCCCCCAGTGTTGGCACTCTCCTCACCTGCTTGGGCTGCTTGGATTGAATGTTTATGTCCCATCAAAATTCATATGTTGAAACCCTAACTCCCAGTGTGATGGGATTAGGAGTGGGGCCTTTGGTAGATATTTAAGTTTAGATGAAGTCATGAGGGTGGAGCCACCCTGATAAGAGTCAGGCTTTTATAAGAAAGTGCACCAAAGCTTCCCCTTTCTGCCATCTGAGGTTACAGGGAGAAGGCGGCCACCTGCAGGCCAGAAAGAGGGCCCTCAATAAGGAGCACATTTGCTGGCACCTTGGTCTTGGACTTCCCAGCCTCCAGAACTATGAGAAGTAAATGCCAGCTGTTTAGGCCACCCAATATGTGGTATTTTGTTATAGTTGCTTGAACCGACTAAGATAGGCTCTGAAACCCCATGCTGAGCTGCCCTCCAACCCCCAGATTTCCGCCTCACCCCTCTTTGGATCTGACATCACTGCCGAGTGGCCTCCTTAGCTCTCAGGCTGTGTGGTGCATGCCCCCCTCACCCTGCTGGATTTATCAGACACACTCCAGGCCACTGTGGTTCTCCCACCCTTGCATAGATGCCTTTCTTACTTGGCCTTGTGTAATTGGCTGAATTTTCCAGGGAAGATAAGGGGAAGAGTGGTAAGCCAGAGACGGGGTGGGAGTGGGGGCTTAAGAACCCAGTAGTAGCCCCTGGAGCACTTCCAAGTGCCAACTGGACATTTGAAAGTCACTGCAGTAGCAAAGTGGACACACTGTATCTTTAGAGTAGTGGTTGTCAAACTATGGCCCATGAGCCAAATCTAACCTGTGGCCTGTTTTGGTACAGCCTGTGAGCAGAGAATGTGTTTTACATTTTTTAAAGGGTTGTTAAAAAAGAAAAACACAAAATAGAATATGCAACAGAGACCATATATGGCCTGTAAAACCTGAAATATTTACAATCTGGCTTTTATATAAAAAGTTTTCTGATCTCTGCTTTAGAGGATTTTTAAAATATATTTTTTTATTGATTTCAGAGAGAGGGAGGGACAGAAGCATCAATGATGAGAGAGAACCATTGATCGACTGCCCTCTGCATGTCCCCTACTAGGGATCGGGGCGAAACCCAGGCATGTGCCTTGGCTAGGAACCAAATCATGACCTCCTGGTTCATGGGTTGATGATCAACCACTGAGCCACACCGACCATGTGAGGATTATTATTTCTTAAACACAATTTCTTAAAATTAGACTTTTGACCCAGGAAAATATTTGGGTTTTTTGATATTCTATGTTGCCAATTAAGTGTAATCCATATACTTTGAGAAGGAGCTAGCCAGAAGGTAGTCTTAATATTTTCTAAGGCAATTACGAGGCCTAATCAAGATTCACACCTGAACACAGGGTTTGACCTCTGTACTTAGATGACACTCTGTAGATGACGCACATTCTGAAATTAGGTGACACAGAGTGGATGGCCTGCACCTGCTGTCTGCTTTTAAGAGGAAGTCCTCTGTTACAGTGCTAAGCATATTTCAGCTTCATATGAGAATCATTTCTCTGTGTGTTTACTCCCCCTTTATATTTTGGCGGATGGGCACTGTATGTTATTCTTTATTGCCTACACTGAGTGATTTGTGTTTGTAGTGAACTGGATTAATAAGTCCTTTTATGCCTGGTATTCATACTCACTAGATTTTCGTAATTTTTTTTTATTCTTAATGTTGACAAGAAAAAATTTTTCTCCTGTACCTTTTATTTAATGTAAACCTGATCTCCTTATCAAAATCCTGTATATCCAACAACAATGCTTGAATTTACTGAAAGTTAAACATTGTAATGCTGGTCTCAGGAGCAGGAGTATTCCACTCACTCATTCATTCATTATTCAAATATCATTAAGTTAGTGCTCGGTTGATGATAGTCACTACACCCCTTCGTGTGCTTCCATAGTAACCTGTATTTGTCAGGAATAAGTACAGTGTAGTTTCCACTGATCCCTTGAGCATTCCTGTTTACTTACCTGTCCCCTATTTGGGGGAGGGGGGCCAGAGAAAATATATTGTTAGTTGTTATATTTCCAGTACCTGGCACATTATATATAGAACTCACAAAAGATGGTTTGAATGAATGAGTGAATGAATGAATATACAAACCATGCTATGGTCAAGGGATGCAAAGATGAATAAGCCACTGTCTTATGCTGCCTTTGTTGAATTCTCTTCCCAAAAATATTTCAAAGAACAAGTGTATGACATTTGACAGGCCAGTGTTAGACTGTGCTTGTTTGAAGAAACTGAAGTTGGGGAGACTTGTGGGAGGAAATTGGGGGCATGAGGAAATGGAATGGCAGGCTGTGCAGAGCAACCCCAGGAAGGTCCAGGCTGGAGCACGTGGAGGAAGCTTTAGGATAGAAGAGAGAGCTAGGAGTGGACTCACGATTATTATCATTGGAAAAAGTGCACATTTTAAAGTGCATCATTAGCATAAAAAAGAAGCAATCATAAAATATATATCCCAGAACTTTCATGTTACAGTAATAGTGTAAAGTGCTCTCTGACCTGGTCTAAACCTAGTGTAGACTTTTTTTAATTTTTATTTTTTATTGTTTTATTGCTTAAAGTATTACAAAGAGTATTACATATGTGTCCTTTTTTCCCCCCTGCCCTTGACAATCCCCTGGCCTCCCGCACCCCCCAGTGTCTTATGTCCATTGGTTATGCTTATATGCATGCATACACGTCCTTCCGTTGATCTCTTACCCCCCTCCCTCCTGCCCCCCAACCCTCCCCGGCCTTCCCGCTGCAGTTTGACAATCTGTTTGAGGCAGCTCTGCCTCTGTATCTATTATTGTTCATAAGTTTATAATGGTTGGCTCACTGTTATTTTTCTGGGATAGTTAACTTTAGGGCCTTTACTGAAGAGGAACAGAGAGATTGTTGGCCGTTTTTGTTTCTTTCATCATGTGGTTTTCAGCAATGAGAAATAATTGTTGTGTGTTTTATTTTTAATTGCCAGAGAGCCCAAAGAAGGAGGGATGCCCATGGATATTTCCATAACTCCCTCCTCGCTCCAGGTGAGGACCCCTGGAGGCTGCACAGAGATCTGCCTTCCAGCAGAGGTCAGGCTTGTGCCTTCCTCTGGCCATGGGCTGCAGTATGTGGCTGGAGATGGACTACACCTGCGGCTGCAGGCGCGGATGGAATTCAGCACAAGTAAGCTATGCCAGCACTCCTGTTTCTGCATTAACTTTTTCACTACAAATCGAAGGTGATTTTTCCCCTAAGAAGTTGAATTTTCCCAGGTGGAAATAGCTGCTCATCACTGGCATGGAAGGAGCTGGGAGTGGAAAAGATCTAGGGCAGTGGCTCTCAACCTTCCTAATGCCGCGACCCTTTAATACAGTTCCTCATGTTGTGGTGACCCCCAACCATAAAATTATTTTCGTTGCTACTTCATAACTGTAATTTTGCTACTGTTATGAATCGTAATGTAAATATCTGATATGCAGGGTGTATTTCCATTGTTACAAATTGAACATAATTAAAGCATAGTGATTAATCACAAAGACAATATGTAATTATATATGTGTTTTCCGATGGTCTTAGGCGACCCCTGTGAAAGGGTTGTTCGACCCCCAAAGGGGTCGCGACCCACAGGTTGAGAACCGCTGCTCTAGGGTCTTAGCCAGCTCTGCCATTTATCAGCTATGTGCAGTTAAACGTGTCACATAATCTTTCTGAGGTTTTGTTTCTTTTGGAATTTTTTTTAGTGGTTTTTGTTTCTTCCTAATACACTTACTTTTTAGAGCAATTTTAGGTCCACAACAAAATTGAGCAGAAGTTCACAAAGATTTTCCATATACCTCTGCTTTGTCTCTTTAATTGTAAAATTACCTGGCTCACAGAGCTGATGTGAAGGTGAAGTAAGATGGTTTGTGCAAGATGTAGTTTATTTTAAAGCGTTACATAGAAATTCATTAATTCAGTAACCATTACCTTATATTTTGAGCTAGGAATTGCTCTAGATTATAGCGATACAGATGTGAACAAACTAGGAGGGTCTCTGGCTTCAGGGAGCTTACATTGTAATGCGTGGGAATAGATAATGACCAAATTAATTACTTGGATACAGAGAAAAGCGCCATGGGCAAAGTAAAGCCAAATGATGGGATAGGGAGTGACTGGGTTTGGGTGGAGAGTGATGGAGAAGGCCACTCAAAAGAGGCGATATTTGATCAGAGAACTGAATGATGGAAATGATCCCATCCATGTAGAGACATTTCCAAATAGAATAGTACATACAAAGATTCTGAAATTGAGTATGATACATAATTTAATTTTGAATGTTGTTATGCCTATCTTATTTCCAATATTTGTTACTGGTACATTGATTCAGTAAGATAGTAAAAGTGTTTCTCAGAATAATTTATTGAATAAAATTATTGGTTTATTACATTTCTTACCATCTAAGTAATATACTTTTTAAAAAATATGTTTTATTGATTTTTTACAGAGAGGAAGGGAGTGGGATAGAGAGTTAGAAACATCGATGAGAGAGAAACATCGATCAGCTGCCTCCTGCACATCCCCCACTGGGAACGTGCCTGCAACCAAGGTACATGCCCTTGACCGGAATCGAACCTGGGACCCTTCAGTCCGCAGGCCGACACTCTAGCCACTGAGCCAAACCAGGCAGGGCAGTAATATACTTTTGAGGATTAACATGATGTTAAAATGGAGAACTTTATAGAAGTAGGGTGCAGAGGACTGATAGATGCTCATTATCAGAGAAGGATTTTATTTCTCCCAGATATACCCTTAGACTTCACTGCTGCCTCATTTTTACTAAGCCTTTCATCTGAACTGCATGGAGCCAGTGGTGGGGTCCAGCAGATTGTTTTGAAGAGCCATTTAAAAGATGGGAGCCTTTTTCAGTTCCCCTGAGTCTTTTTGCTGGCTTTTGAAAGGGAAGAGAAGATAGAGAGCAAGTTTCGCTTCTTCTTTGCTGGAGAGTAATTTTGCTCGTGTCCCGGGTTGATGAATAACTAGTCTGAGTTGGGTAGAGTTGGTTTTAGGGATAAGAGATAGGGAAAAGAAATGCCAATGAGCTTAAACGGTGTAAGATAAACACGAAGAATGACTGTTGGACTATTCATGGAAAGCAGAGTGGGTGACTAGCCGGGAAGCACACTCACACTCCCCAGTGTACCTAATGTAGGCGGAGGAAGTGGTGTGTCAGGGAAGAAGCCGTGGGAGGCTGGCCCTTGTCCTGTCATCACCTTCTCTGTAGCAGTGATGGACAATCACAGCAGTCACAGTCTGGAACTTGGGAAACGGCATAGTGGGGTGCTTTCAGATCTACTGTTAGTTTTCTGGGAACATGATTTTAGGGCCCATACTTAGGGGGTATGGAGACCTTTCAGAATCAAGAATTGGTTTATCACCTACCCATATTGTGTAACAGTTAATATGCAAATAGCAAAACTTGAACTATTTAAAAAAATTTAAGTCAGCCAGCATTATTGTTTAGTTTTGGCTGGAGGACAAAATAAATTGACTGCTATGTGTTGTTTTGCATGTTGTTTGCATTCATTGGTCTCCTGTTTCTTTCTAGTTCTGAAACATATTTTACTCAAATATCTGAAAAAGGAAAGCTTTCAAAAGCTTGTTCTGTAGTGCATGAAAAGATATGCGAAATAGTCCTCCGCACTTAATTGCTTTAGAGCTTTGCTCATAATAGGTACTGAATAAATAAATACTAGATAGATGCATACTGATGTAAGCTTGAATCAGTCGGAATCTCTTGTAGGAAGAGAGTTTTGAAATTTTTAGCATTCAGTTGTGATGCGGGGTCTTTAAAAAGGCAACTTTTCTGTTGTAAGAACTTCCTTCTCGGGATCGTAGTAAACGTATTGCCACACTGTTTTGAGTGTAACTTAGGTCAGACCATAACCTTGACGTGGAACACGCACGAGTCTGATATAGCACAGGCACGAGGTTCGCCCCAGGTGCTGGCGCCTCTCCCAGGATGCCCTGTATCTGAAAGTTCTGACGCGAACCTGAGCTAGAGGATCATGCTGGGTGACCAGCAGAGGGGAGTATTTCGCTAAAAATTTGTTTACTGGTTCTGAAAAGAATATTTTGGATGTCTTACCTAGGTCTACTTAATCTTACCATACATACAAAATAACATAAACCAAATTTAAGTTGCCTGATTCTAATGGACAGGACCTCATTTCTTTATATTTTTAAATATAACACATATTTTTGTGGGGTTTTTTTCGGGGGCGGGGGGAAGAGAGTGAAAAAAAATTTTTCTTCATGAATAAATAAAGGAAACAGAGAATAGACTGCTTTATGCTGCATTTCACATAATGTGGGAAATATATGTTTTTCCACAGCTTTAATCAGAAATTGAGTTTTGCTCTTAAGAGATTGAATTTTTCTTAGGAGCCATTCCATACTCAGGAACCTGTCCAATAGACCAGTTTCAAGATTCATTTTGTTAGTACATACTGGTAATATGCCAGAGTGGACATAAATCTTATTTAAATCAAATTAAACTTAAATTTAAAAGCTTTATTCACCAGCAGTCACAATGATGAAAAACTATACCTCAGACGTAGCAGAAGAAAGCCGAGAATGGTGAAGCTCTGTGTAGTTAGCCTGATAGGAAAGAAATAGCCCCTTTTTCTTCATCTTTAATGTTGGTGTTTATGGAATGAGAGAAATAACAGTGTGTGACATGAACAATCTGGGCAATACCTGGCTCCGGAACAAGCAAAATCTGTTGTTTTTGGAAACACTTCACAATATTTACTTCTGGTTGAGTCATCAGATAATACTAATTAAATGTGTACTTCTGGGTACATCATAAACAGTATTTATTGATGGTAATTTATTGTGGCTATTACACTCTTATAAATATGTTAACATATTTGTCCCAAACCTCTAAGATTTCTGTGTCATTGATTTCCTTTAGAGCTGACTTCAATGTTTAATCAAAGCTCAGAAGCCCAAGACTGCTGCACATTTTATTGCCAGTCCTGCGGTGAAGTCATAATAAGGGACAGGTAAGGAATGCGTCTTACATTGATTAATTCTGTGCCTGGCGATGCTTTTCTCTTTCCTATCAGAGTTTTTGAAGTAATCGCCAAGGGAACAGTGTATGGCCTTAAAACGAGAGCCAGCTTAATGCCACTTTGAACAACATCAGCCATAAAACTCTCCAGCAATCACAGAGCAGTTAAGTCTTCTCAGGCCGACCAGGGGGAACAATAGGATGCTGGCTTTGAGGGGGGAAGGGAGGGTTGGTTATCTTGGTGGAAGAGTGTTGATCACTGAAGCATCTCTCTTACAAAAAGAGACTTGGGACCTATTGCATGTTTTATCCATCATGTTGGTGAATGGGATTTTCCACATTAAGTGACATTTCTAAAAAGGAAGGTTTTGCAGCACAACTTTTTATTTGAACTATTTCTATTAGTGCCTGTCTGAAATCCAGTTCCTATTTCCCTGCTTGTTAAAACAGCATATAGAGAACACAAATTAACCTTTTCTTGATGATCAGGCTAACCTTATAACCTGTTCTTGCGGTGTGCTGTGATTGCCCCACTGAGATGGAAAGGGCTCTTTGCGGTACCTTTGCATTCCCAAGTTGTCTCGTTGAATCATTTTCCCATCTGCTCCCTTCCTCCTGTCAGCCTCCTTGTTTCCTGGGCACAAACCCTTCCCCCTGAATTTTCAGCTTCTGATCACTCATACACAGGAAAGACAAATGAAAACCTTACACTGGTTAACAATATTTTTAAAAAGAATTTAGAGTTCTTTGTTTGGTGCATTTCCTCCAAGACAAGTGCCTGAGACTTGCATGCAAATGGGTCCTTCTCCATATCTGAAACCTGCTCCTCTTCCAGGGCTCCTTGTCTGAGGGCATGCAGACCTCTACTGCATCTTCAAGGTAGATTCCTGGTGGTGTCTCTGGGTTCCTCCTTGCCCCCCATATATAGTCTCTCACCAACTACTTTTGCTACTTCCTTCCCCGCATTTCTTGCAAGTCCACATTCCTCCACCCCAGTGCTACTACCTCCCTCCAGGCTGCTATCTTCTCACCTAATAGCACTTGTTGCCAGCTCCCTATCTGCTTAGCCTTCCTCCAGGTTCACCCTCTTCTGAACATTTCTACACTTTCGAGTGATTGTTCCCAAATGCAGCTGGCTCCCCTGTTCAAGCCCTTCCACATCTTTCAAGGTAAAGTCCGTAAGACGTTAGCATGCCATGCCAGGTCCTTTATGAGTTTGTTTCTATTTACCTTTCCACCCTCAACTTCCTTTCTTTGTCCCCAAAACAGCACACCGTTATGTACACACGTTCTGTGCACAGCTCTAGTGATCAGCCTGCGTCCCCTGACTCTCCATGCTTTTCTCCACCCTAGCTGGCTTAGTGAGAGCTACTGTCTCCCGTGGAATGTACCCCGGTACCCTATTTCCCTCAGGTTCGCTCCTAAATTCAGCTCCTAAATTAAATGTCATCTACCGCTGGGAGCCTTCCCTGCTCACCACCCATAGTCTAATCTCCCTCTAAGATTTATTTGCCTGTCTTCCTGATTAAACTGTAGGCTCTGGGGGTGAGGATAGTCTTATTGACCCCTATATCCCTAATCCCTACTCATATTTAGAGTGCAGTGCACTCTAGTGGCGGGTAGTACAGACCCAGAAACTAGCCAGTCTGGGCTCACATCACCACTTCCTGGATGTGACCCTGGGCTAGTTACTTAACCACTCCATGCCTCAATATCCTTACTACAAACACATAGATAACAATAGGAGCTACCTCTTAGGGTTGTCTGGAGGATCCAATGAATTTAAGTGTTTTAACCAAGTTTGGGACATGTTAAGCATTCAGTATGTGGTAGCTGCTACTGTAATTATTCTTACCATCATCATCACCAAGATCTCCAGCATCAGACATCATGCCTGGTGAATAATGCACCTTCAATAAATTCTTGCTGGGTGGAATTAAATAAACGTTACTGTGTTTATTTTGGCCTTCTGCCATCCTCTCTTGCTTGCTTTATGATTCCTGGCAGTGCCCCAGGTAGATGAGATAGCAGAAAGTTACTTTGGTGGAAATGGGAGGTTGTGAAGGGAGCATCCTCTGAATGATTATCTTGGGTGAGAAATGAGGTGATTCTCAATCTGTAGAGGAGAGAATGTTCTTGATCGAATTAGCAGAGGCTGAAGTTGCTGCAGAGGGTGCGCTCTGTGGTAGGCTCACCTTAGCCTCAGAGGGTCAGAGGATCCCAGTTTACATTGCAGTTTAACCAAGAAAGTTTTCCTTGTCTCCGTCTACTTCAGGCTTTGGTTTAATTCTCATGTGAAGTTTCCTAAACATGCATGCCTGCACAGCAATGAGCTGACCTAGGAGTTACAGCAGAAACAAGTGAAACTCAGTGTAACAGTATTTCCTGGTGCTGCTTACCGTGGAGGTTATGCTCATTGACTGCTGGCTGATATTTCATTGGAAAAGGGTGATGGATATGAGAAACCTTTATCTGTAGTCCCCGTTTTCCTAGTCAGGAACTGCACCTTTTGTTTTATGTCGATCCTTTTTTACAGTCATGGGATTGGGAACTAGAAGGGCTTAGTAGAGGCTAACACTGAAAGACTGTATTTACTCTCCCTAACCCTGACCACTAGGAGGCCCTGTAGTGTGGAAGTGAGAGTGGGAGAGTGGGAACAGGATTTGAACTCCAGCTTCACCACTTAGTAGCTGGGGAACCTGCCCATATCACCTCAGCTTCTTTTTTTAACTAACATTATAAGTTTCAAGTGTACAGTTCTACAATACATGACCTGTACATTGCATTGTACGCTCACCACTCATAGTCTAATCTTCCTCTGTCACCATATATTTGACCCCTTTTACCTTCTTTATCCTCTAGTCCCCTTCATACCGCTGTCCGTGTCTATGAGTTTGTTCATTTGTTGTTTTCTCTTTTATATCCACACGGGTTGTTTATATGTGGTTCTTGTCCTTTTCTGTCCGACTCTTTAACATGATACTCTCAGGATCTACCCATGTTGTTGCAAATGGCAGTATTTCATCCTTTCTTCTGTCTGAGTAGTGTTGCCTTGTACTAGTGTACCACATCTCCTTTATGAAACCATCTATCGAAGCACACTTAGATTGCTTCCATGTCTTGGCTATCATGACTAATGCTGTATTGAACATAGGGGTACATATATCTTTATGAATACATGTTTTTAAAATTTGGGGGTAGATACCCTGAAGTCACCTTTTTCTTAAGTAGACAAAATGAGGCCTATTTTCCAAATTCGTGAAGAGAGTTAAAGGCTGTAACACATGGAATATTAATGCTCAACAAGCTCTTTTTTATTGGTTCTATAGAATCCTTCCACTCCCTTTTCCATAATTGGTCTTATCACCAAACTAGTAAATTACCTTGTTTAGTTTTTTTAAACCTCTTTGGTTTACTACACTGCATTTTATAGGTGTGCCGGGGAAATGATCCACCTTTCTCCCTTCTTATTTGACTGAGCCCTTGCCTCATGTTAGCTTACATTTTACTCTTAGGCAGTATGCCCTATGACTTTGTTTTATGGAAAAACGTGATTCCTCCAGTATCTGTACAAGGATTTCATGTTGACTGTGTACAGTAAGCTCAGTGGTCTTCTCCCCCCCCCCCCCCCACACACACCCAGTTATCTGTTTTACATAGTGATAAGGGCATCTTCTGTTCTTGTTATGTAGAAAATAAAACCAAAGGTATTTCAAAAGAGGCTTGAATGTGCTATAATCAAAATTAACTAATTGTAGACATCTTTACCAGGAAAGCACCTTGGAAAATGTTAATTTATCTGCACTGGGAGCCCCTCTAATAGGAGCAATGGCTAAGATCTGCTTACTGGCTAACCTTATCATCTGGGAACAAGTCAGTTTAATTCTCTGGGCCTCAGTTTCCTCATCTGTGATTAGTGAAGCTCATAAAGTTGTACCTGGGTTCTGTGATTCATGTAATTTGGATACTGCAAGACTAATGCTATTCCCTTTTTTTTTTTTTTCTTGTCAAGCAAATTATAGAAGTAAGGTGCAGAGGACTGTTTAACCTATTAAGACTCATTATGGCTTTTATTCTTTTTAGTACCAGGGCACTGGAAATCTGCTAAGTGTAGTAGTAGTCTTTTTTCTTAACCTAGGAGTACATGCTCTTAGCCATTTGTTTTGGTATTTGAAAATAAATACTGCCTTGCTCCTTTACAAGAAAATGTCCAATTTGCATTTTACTAGTTCAGCAGAGTTTTACTATAAAAATTGTCTGAACATATACAATTTTTTATTATGTTCTTGTTGAGACTCACAGGCCTTAATATAAAGCAGCAATAATAACAAAATTTACTTCTTTGTGAATAGTCTCAGAAACAGCTAAATGGTCATTGCATTTGGAATTTATGTCTTTGAGAAATAAATTCAGGGCAGACCTGAATTACATCAGTTGGCCAGACTTTCAAACATATGCCGTTTGATTTTCAGCCCATTTGAGAGGTCTCCTGAGGTCTCTGGAGAGGCCCTCCCCATTCCACCTGCACCAGCAGCGCTAGGTGTCAGCCCAGCAGCTCATGAGGGCATTGAAACTCTAGAAGGAAACATGCAAAATAGACTTTATTGAAACACTAGAGGCCCGATGCACAAAATTCGTGCAAGAGTGGGCCTTCCTTCCCCCAGCTGCCAGCACCGGCTTCCCTCTGGCACCTGGGACCTGGGCTTCCCTCCAGCCTCCAGGAGGCACCTGGGACCCAGGCTTCTTTCGCATCCCTGGCTCCAGAAGGTTGTCCAGAAGGACGTCCAGTCTAATTAGCATATTATGCTTTTATTATTATAGATTAAGAGATGTCACAATATCAAACCAATCGATTGGTCTACTTGACAGACCAGTATAATTGTAGCCTAAAAAAAAATCTATTCCCATGAATACCATCACTTTTTTATGAATGAGAACAAAGAAGTGAGAAAGAGTACAGGTACAAACTGGATTATTAGTAATACTGTACAA